CCATCCATCCATCCATCCATCCATCCATCCATCCATCCATAAATCCATCCATCCATCCATCCATCCATCCATCCATCCATCCATCCATCCATCCATCATCTTTACCCACTTCTTCCTTTTTGGGTTGTGGGGGTCACTGGTGCCCATAACCAGCAGTCACTGTGTGAGAAGCAGGGAACACCCTGGACAGGTCTCCAGTCCATCACAGGGACACATGGACAGGTCTCCAGTCCATCACAGGGACACATGGACAGGTCTCCAGTCCATCACAGGGACACCTGGACAGGTCTCCAGTCCATCACAGGGACACCTGGACAGGTCTCCAGTCCATCACAGGGACACCTGGACAGGTCTCCAGTTCATCACAAGCACACTTGGAGAGGTCTCTAGTCCATTACAGGGACACATGGACATGTCTCCAGTCCATCACAGGGACACAGGGACAGGTCTCCAGTCCATCACAGGGACACCTGGACAAGTCTCCAGTCCACTACATGGATACCCAGACAGATCTCCAGTTCATCACAAGCACACCTGGAGAGGTCTCCAGTCCACTACATGGACACCTGGCCAGGTCTCCAGTCCATCACAGGGACACCTGAACAAGTCTCCAGTCCACTACATGGACACCTGGACAGGTCTCCAGTCCATCCCAGGGACACATGGACAGGTCTCCAGTCCTGCACAGAGACACAGAGACAAACAACCATCCACATTCTCTCTCTCTCACCTGGAGAAGATTTAGAGTTATCAATCAGCCTAACATGCATGTTTTTGGTCTGGGAGAAAACTGGAGACCCAGAGAAAACCCATACATGCACAGAGAGAACATGCAAACTCCACGCAGAAAGGCCCTGGACCGGGATTTGAACCAGCAACCTTCTTGCTAAGAGGCTACATATCTACCAACTGAGCCACCGTGCCGCCCGCCAGAGATACACAAACACTGAACACTGATATAGAAACACTGTTCGCAGATATTTGTCCAAACATTTTGAAAGCTCAGAACGTTTCAGTGTCCAGAATTCCTCTGAGCTGAACTCTGAGCGCAGGAGGTCAGCAGTGGAGGGGAAATGTATTTGAACTGATCTCACAGCAGGACGCCGGAGATAAAAACAGAAAACACTGAAAAGCTTCAGCGATGAAGAGAAATAACGTTCTTCAGATTCCAAGCCTGAGTTCTGATGGCGGGACTTGAAGAGGACATGTGGGCAGGCGGCTGGCAGGAAACTAAATTGCAAACATATGTGAAGTGTTTTATTTGAACTTCTCTAACTTTATTTTAGGTTTAGGTTAGAAATTATCCACGAAAACTAAAATTTGTTTGATTTTTGCACATGTGACGTCATGCGTGAATATTGTTTAGTGTGAATAAAGCGTGTTAGCCCATAGTCAGACATGTTTTCCTGTGTTTTTATTGCTCACCACTACTATAGGGAGCAGTTAGGGAACAGGTGTTTTGCTCAAGGACAACCCAACATATGGTGGGGACACAAACCTGTGACTTTCCAGTCCCAAGTCGGCTGCCCTTCCGCTTTGCCACAGCTGCCTCCAGGAAGACTTTCTCCCTCGTACGAGGACACTTTTTTCATTCAACCTTTATTTAGACGGGTTAATCCCATTGAGCCTCGAGGACTCATTTACAAGAGAGACCTGATTTCAACAAAGAATGATGACAACAATGGACAACAGCGACAACAATAGACAGTTATGAACGAGGCGTACAGATTTTTTTATTCTTTTTTACAAATTAAAAATAAGATGGCAAAAAAAGTAGCAAAAGCATCTAGATTCTAAGGCGAATGTAGAAAACTCAAAACAGGAACATGTTTGCATTGGTCCCTGCCAGGAGTCCAACAGATTCTTAAAGCCACTTAGAGAGGTCAAAGGTCGAGAGCTTCTGATGTTTTTGCAAGAAGACACTGTCCATTTGAACCAGCTGACAGAGTTTTGACTGAACACCCGCTTCGAATGTTATCAGCCAATAAATGGTTGTTATTAGTTGTTAGGTTTAGGGTTGGTCCTCTGGGTCAGGTGTAAGGTTAGGTTTAGAAAAAGGGTTACATAAGCTGGAAAAAAAAAAGACACTTCCTGGTTTACCCCTGTGCGACGCTGCCTATTATCAGCGATAATAACGATAATAACGTACCTTTAAACCTACTAGGAGGTAGGTGGGAAAGTCTCACTGCTACATATGGGGATGATAACAACTAACAACGTCCGAAGCCGCTCGACGGAATGGGTGAATTTTTTTTAACAATTTTTTTATTGTCCCTAGGTGTGAGAGAGAGTGAATGGCTGTTTGTCTTGCTTATTTATGTGTCCCTGTGATGGACTGGAGACCTGTCCAGGGTGTCCCCCGTCTCACACACACTGACTACTGGATATGGGGGCCGGTGACCTCCATGACCCGGAGCAGAAGAAGTGGGTAAAGATTATGGATGGATGAGTTGAAATGTGAAGGAATGTAAACAGACAAAATCCTGTGACTTGGTGTTTTTCTTGCTGTAGAATTATAAAAGTTTAACTTAGTCAAAAATACGCTGAAAACGGGGAAAAAGGATAAATCTCTTTTTTCGGCTGCTCCCTTCTTCAGGGGTCGCCACAGCGAACTGTCACACATGGCAAGTATTTTTACGCCGGATGTCCTTCCTGATGCAACCACCGAGCTTCCGCAGCCCTCTGAGTGGAGCAGAGCGCTGCACACCCGGCACATATGATATACAAAATTCTATCTGCGACTTTCAGAAACTAATATTTGGAGCTACATCTATGACCCCTATCAAGATGGCCACCATGACCAACTGACTTCAGGAAACATAAATGCCACTGACATTATTCGAATGAAAATCCCTTTAAGGTCTTGTATCTGGGTCTATATGAAGGGGGAAAGGTCAAAACTAAATGCAGCCATCCTAATGTTAATGGATGCTCTCTTGTTACAGACGAGCGTGCACGTCCCTCATCAGTGAAGAACAAACTCTTTGCTTCACTGACTGTTTGTAAATGTGAGTTTCTCATTTTGTGAACCACATCTGCCCTCAACAGCTAATATCTACTGAAAATACCAGCACCGTTTTCTTGTCATCAGCCCGAGAAGACAGAGCACACAGTAACCTTTGATACCCCCCCCCCCCCCACACACACACACAACCCCCACCCCCACCACAATAGACCATGATAAGATTTAAAGGGCCCAAATCCTTTATCTCAGCAGAAGTGGAGCACCGACTCCTGACCTGGAGTCACAGCATCAGCAGAAAGCTGCCAGCCTCTGGTCCAGTTATCGACAAAACACATATTTATTGTCGTCCCTCTGGATTGTGTGTTCGTGTATGAGTGTGTGTGTGTGATATTATTTCAAGGCTGCAGGAGAATGAAACTGATTTTTGATGGAAAGACACACAAAGATAAAGCAAGTCACACTGAGGTGTTATATTTTGGTTTTCTTATTCTATTTAAACCCAATCAGATATTTATCGGTGAAGCCGAAGCAGCAATAACGTTTCGGCTCATGTCTGTGTGTGTGAGAGTTCGTTTTTCCGTAGCTTTATGAATATCTCACGGAGCACTGAATGGATTTTAATGAAACTTCCAGAAAGCAATGAATTGACGTACATCCAGAGTCAGCCCCACTCAAGATGGCCGCCACAGCTAAGCTATTTTATCTACACAAATATTGCACAGCTATAAATCAAACAGTCTTAGAGATGATGAGCTAAAATTAGGTTTGATATTTAGTGAGTGATTCCCATCATGTACCTCGAGCACTATTATAGTTAACTGTTTGTCCGTTAGCAAAATATCTCATGAACCACAGAATCGGTTTGAATAACACTCTCAGAAAGTAATTACCATTTAGCTTGATATTGTAGGAGCCTTTTCTACAAGAATAACATTTCCTGAAAGCATATAACAGCTAGAACTGAAGTAAAAAATAGAGCTCCTATTTTCTTCAGATACACCTCAAAATGTAGCAAAAATTTGCTAAAAAGGCTAAAGCTACGTTATTAAAGTTGAAATAAGCTACAATAAAAGCAGAACCCTAGCAAAAACTTAAATTTAGCAAAACATTGGCTAAAAGCAAAAAAAAAAGTAACACGCTAGCTAAAAGCTAAAAGTATCAAAATGCTAGCTTAAAAAAGCAAAACACAAGCTAAACGTCAAAAATCAACATAAATGCTAATTATAACAAACTGCTAGCTAAAAGCTAAACTAGCTAAAAACTAAAACTAGATAAATGCAAACTAGAAAGCAGCAAAACAGATAAAAATGGTTAAAGAC